TTTTTTTTTTTGTTCACTGCGGAATATTTACATGCCATAATATCAATTATGAGACACTGAATCAGAAGATACGATTAAAGGCATACCAAGATACTGATCCATATTTTACAGTGGATATCGTTCTCATCTTTTTCAGCGTCAACAAACATTTTGCGGTACAGATTAGTCAGACTATTCTTCATGACTATTATCTAAACTTTAGTTTTGTCCTTTGATGCAAACAATTTTTCCTCTTTTTTTGATTATTGAAGCCATTTAATTTATTTCCCCGATGAATACGTCATAGTGCTTTCTTTCCGCTTTTTTTTTTTCACGAAAATTTAGAATCATTTATGCAGGATTAACCTTGCTGCACTTCTTTTATTCCACTGTTCATTATTTCGACTTTGATCATGGCACAGTTGTTTGTTGTTGACGTAAAATGTTCTGAACAAAAAAAAAATCTCAAAGAATTATTGAAGCTAGCAAATATACAAACAGAAAAAAAAAATTGACATCTGAGTTTAGTGTATAGTTAAAATAAATTCTGCTAATCAACAGTTTATTCAGCTTGTTTTGTTTAATATTCTGTTCTTTCGCTGCCTGTATATCCACAGCGTTTATGATATTTTACAGTCGAAAATCAAAGAAAGTCCTTTTTCTTCCCTTTCCTTACACTGACTGATTTATTTCCCATCTTTTTCTCTTTATTTTCCTTTCTCGTTTTTTTCCTTCCTTCTCAAAATGAGCAGTTTTTGGTGTCCAGAAAGAACAAAAAAGAAAAAAAGAACATTAAATCAACAACACAGAAATGTAGTGTTGGTTAAGGTTTGCTTTCAGAACTAGTCCGTTGCATTAACACCGCACAAAATCGACGACTATCGTTAGAATTGTCAACGTTTTTCTACAGCAGAGAATAATACCTGAAAAAAAAAAGGAAGTTTATACCTTACTGTTATTCTGTCTCATCTTCGATTATATTATACGGTACGATTTAAGATTGTGCAGTTACAGTTTCATGGAGTGAATTCATGATCTGTGAGCTACTAAACTCATTGGTTCAGTTAATATGCTAATTGCAAAAACATTAAGTTTTTTTACAGGTAGAATTTTTAAATTAATCAAAACCATCCAAATTTTTGACTATTCTGAAAATTTTTTTGAGTCTTTTAAGCATCATCTTATTTGATCGGCTTTATGACAGTGGTATCAATTGTCTACGGTATGGTTTGCTTATGGATCAAATGAATATCCATCTGTTGTTAGGTTACGTTCTACTGAGATGAAATTTGTCAGCACTTAAAGGACCAAATCTTTTGGTTTCAATGCAATAAAACTTTTCAAAAATCGCTTAGCTATTTTTTTTTTCGGTACTTATAACTATTCCTGTGCCTTGACTGCAGTTTTTGCGACGTTCCTTTTCATTGCAACGGCACATTGTTAAAGCATCTGTAAAACTAGAAGTTTCCTCTTTCCATATTCGGAAGTCGTTTACTTAGAAAAAAGTAAAAAGAAATTTACTTTACTGCACAGCACACTAACAAGAGCTATTCAAAAAAGCTGTTGTCGTTGTTTCACCTGAAGTTCATTAATGCCTAATACTGTTCGAAACTAGTCAATTTCTGATACTTTTTTTCGCCAACATACTTTTATTTGATTATCGATTGATTCAAAAAAAAAATTGTATAGAATTTTTGAATGTATTAAAAGGGTAACAGTATTACTACCTTTTTTTCCTTTTTTAAAATTTTGGAGTAACGAGTCAAAACAAAAAAAAAAAAAAACCTTTTTTTTGACGACTATGAAATACTTTCAATGGAGGTATGACATGAAAACAAGAAAGAAAAAGAAATTAAAAACTATTTTTTGAAAAATTACTGTTATACACGTTTTATGGTTTGGAGGGGGTTAAAAAAAGTTTTACTGACATTTTGTAATCTTACATAACTGTTATTTTTTCCTGCTTGATGCATGAAAAAAGATACAGTTATCAGTGAATTTACAGAAATGTGATATAATTAACCCAAATTATTATTTCTACTCAGCAGTAAACATAATGGTGCAGATTTCAGTTTTTTAGCTTTTTATTTTGGCATTCTTTTCTTTCCAACGTCATTCGTCCTTTTTGAAGAGGTACTACAAATTACTATTCAACGTCTCATATCCTTGTCACTGCTGTTGTTTTTGGTTGTTCTCATCGGTATTTTAGTTGATGTCGCTGTTGCTGCCCCTAATGTTGCCGTCGTCGTCGTTATCGTCGTTGTTATTGTCGTCATTGTTGTGATGTTCCTTGGACGCCACCTGATGATTTACGCTGACCATCTGTTGACCATTCGTCGTCACTATTCTAATTAGATGCTTTATATGTCCGCCTATCGTTAACGGTCATTTTATTGCTGCTCACAGCTCAGCGATTGTTATCGCACTGCGCAGCTTATTGAGTTACAGTTTTTGCTCTGCTTTTGGCTTTCTCTATTCACTTATTTGAATAGAATAGAGTTGTTTAAGAAGGAAAGGAAGTGAAAGTTATAATCAGGATTTTTTTTGTCATCAACTTCCTGGAAACTAGCATCTTATCCACGACAGCAGAAATCAAGTTTTGTCTGTAGTGTTTTATTGATATTTCTTTCTTTATAATCTTGACTTGTTTATTCGGTTTTTGGTAACTGTATATTATTTTATCCGAAACAACTTTTCTAGACTTGTTTTTGTCGTCTTTTTTTTTTTGATTTATGGTCGATTATATCTGATGTTGTCTGAAAAACTTTAAAGAGAAAAAAATTAAAGAAATTTAATAGCTGGTTTACAGAGCTTGATTACAGCAATTTGTATCTCGATCTCTGACAGCGAACTTAGGAGAAGAAGAGCTAATTAAAACAGGTTAGTGCTGATCGTTGCTTTTGTCTATTTTTTTAATTTTATTTAGTTCTTCGTTAATCTTATACAATAACTATGGACAACCGAAACACAGTAAATATATACGTAGTGTATTCTGTAAATGTTAATAACTAAATGTAATATACAAATGGCTTAATTGATATTTCAATGGTTTCAGCTAAAAGTAAAGTGATTTTACCGAGTTTCAATTATGAAGGTGGCCAACTTGGTTATTGCATTACTTTTAATTCAGTCGACCGATGCTGACTGGTTTGATGATTTGATCAATTCAGCACATGACAAAATAGTTGCTGGAGCAACATATCTAAGGGATACAGCAGGTCCTGGTATCCGAAATAAATTTAATGAAATTAAATCAAAACTACAGGATCCTGAAACTCATCAGAAAGCCAAACAATGGCTTAAAGAGGTTAGAGAATTTTAGTTTTCTATTTACCTATTTGTTTTTCTTGCACATTATTACGGTTTTAATAACGAGACCTTTTAAGCTAATAAAAACAGCCAAAAATTTGATAATATTATAAAAATGACCAGTTTTATTTGGCAATAAAGTTTTTTGTTGTTTTGCTGTTTTAGATTTTACAAGAAAAATGCTGTTAAAATCAATCGCTTTTAGAATATATCTTTTTGATAGTTTTTATCATTTGTTTGTGCAGTTTAGAGTCATTTTATATTTTATTTTGGGTAATTCGTTAATAGGAACATAAATTTATTATTAATCGTTAACGTAATTCAAGATTTTGTAATA